AAGCTGAGCTATCCACACTGTTTGCTTGATTTATATTAGAAAACAATTTAAAGGCACAACCCAGGCAGAGGTCGTGTGAACGCTTCCTTCGGTCTGTAGTATAGACCCCTAGAGGACAATCACAAATGTGGCGTTCACGTGCACGGAAACCAACCGACAAGAGCGCTTGGGCCTTGCAAAGTAAGCTACTGAAATACCGCTCCGCAGTCGTGTGTAAACAACCAATGTGCCCTTGGGGCATGCCTTTAATCAGTGCTTAATTGTTAAACCTACTTCCAGAATTCGTTCCTCGTAGCCGGGCTCACCGAACAAAGGAGCAGCTGTGTTTCTACGTTCACTCACACGAGTGTAGACATTCGTCCATATTACCTAAAATCTTCGAAATTTCACGCTGGTTAAAGCCCAATGAGCATCAATTTCCTACATTACCATAACTACTAGAAGCCAAAACAGTGAATTCACTCGTTGTTAAATGCTATCGACAAGTTACCTGAACGGCTAGACTGGCGAAGATGCACCAAATCATAAGGATCCAGTCACCGACGGCAAGCTTTAATTTATCGTCTTCGTAGAAAGCCAACAGCTTTGACGGAGCAAACGCAAGAATCACTAGCATTGCAGCAAAGACAATATTTCTGAAAGGGGTGATGTTGACTGATTCTTTCCAAGCTAGTAGACCGTGCAAGAAATACGTTCATCGCGCGCGCGTTCGCAGTGCAGTAGAATCGAAGGCGTCTCTCATAGCAAGAATACTCAATACACCAACCTCTTCGCATTGCTCCAACTGCATTTTTCAATGGTCCGCATGTTATCCTTCCTTCCTGGGGAAATTGACCCTCCTCTATGCTGACCCCTCAGACGTGAGACCGCTGTCACAAGCAATGGAGCGACGCGATCGCTCCATCGCCTGTTGATCGCCGTGTGTGACGGCGGTCTTAGGGGGGAAAGAAAAAGTCTGCCAGGTGACCTGCGAATAATCGGCAAGTGCTGTAGGAATCTTTCCTATTGAAGCACTCTATTTTCTGAAGGGTCACACTGGTCTTACTGTCGATAGGGTGGAAACGTAGCGGTGTGGCGGGTCCCATGACGCAACACTGTCTCACTTAGCGCTAGGATAGTGTCGGAGGCAGAGTAAACCCTGCGTTGCGCAGTTCTCAACGGCCACGTTGCGCAATTTCGCCCGATTAAACAC